TATGCTGCTGTAAGTCCCATTATGCTCTCCTGAAAATAAATGAAATTACTCTGGGTTTACACTGGAGGAAATGAGAACAGAATCTGTCTCAATATCTCTGCAGAGCTGCCAGGTTAGTTGAAATACCATCTCTATGCCCTGGGGATATTTAAGAGCGATGCATTTGTATCAGCTAAGCACTAACTTTCTGGGCATTTGAAAGGCTGGTGTAAGGGAGGGGTCCTGCAAGGAGGGGTCACCCCAGCACCTGGTGCTCCTCTGAGCTCAAGCTCCTTTACTGGTGGCACATCCCTTGGTGCAGCACTGCCCCATGGCTGCTCTGCAGCCAGATGCAGCCACGCTGTGTCCCTGGGTCATGGAGCACCTGAGAGGCCATTGGCCACATGTTGCAAAATAGAAAGCCTTGCTGTGGGACAGCCTGAGGCAAGAGGCACATATGGGACACTTGTGCATGAAGCAGGTACCGGGGAAGGGATTGCTCAGTGTTTTGCAGGAAGGGAGACTGGCTGGATATAAAAGGAGCCTGTTAAGACCTCATGAAGAAAATTATCTAAGGCCTGCCTCAATTACAGAATCATGGAATATTAGGGGTTGGAAGGGACCTCCAAAGATCATCAAGTCCAACCCCCCTGCCAGAGTAGGACCAAAAAAACCCCAAAGCAACTAGGGCAGATCACACAGAAAGACATCCAGACAGGTCTTGAAAGTCTCCAGAGAAGGAAACTCCACAACCTCTTTGGGCAACCTGTTCCAGTGCTCTATAACCCTCACAGTAAAGAAATTCTTCCTTATGTAGAGGTGGAACTTCCTGTGCTTGAGTTGGAATACATTGCCCCTCATCCTATCACAGAACACAAGTGAAAAGAGCTTGTCCCCACCTTCTTAACACCCAACCCTCATGTATGTATAGACATTAATTAGATCCCCCCTCAGTCTTCTCCTCTCTAGACTGAAAAGCCCCAGGTGTCTCAGCCTTTCCTCATAAGGCAGGTGTTCCAGCCCCTTATCATCCTCGTAATTAGGGCAAGTAAGGGCAAAAAAAGCCCCAAACTGCAACTAATTACCCCACATTCCTGGGATCTTGGAAAAAAAAATAAAATAATGAGAAAAGAAAAAAAAAGGTGAAGATGATCCAACCTTAAAATTATTATAAAGGAACAAGGACTAAGAAGGCTCTGAACTCTGCACAAAGGAACATTGTTGTGGGTTGTAACAACATAGAAAACACCAACATTGCCAAAGCCTTAAAAATAAAGACCACTGGTTGGTTATTTAAAATGGGGACTGAAGCTCTCATGATCTCTTGTGTCACCCTTATCCCCCTAAATGGAGCACATGCCCACATGTAGCAAATAGAGGCTGTGCTCCATCAGGGTTCCTGTTCTCATGAGCTCAGCCTTCTTTTCTCCCTTCCCTTGAGTGAATGAAGTTGAATAACAAAAATTTGGAGAAAAAGTCAGCTTGAAACCTTGGAGTTTAATTTGGCTTTAGGTCAAAACCAGAAGAGGATGAATAATATTTTATTTAGTAGATACAGGCTTTTTCTTTTTTTATTTTTATTTTTTTTTCTTATTTTTTATTTTTAAATTTCTTCACAGAAGACTAATGGATCTTATTGAACAAGTCTTATGGCTGATCAAAAACTTTGAAAATATGTACAGAATGTCTTAAGACTACTTGAAAATGTCAAGGTTTGTTGTTTTTTTTTTTCAGAAAGCCTAAGTCTTCCCTCTGAAGCATGTTTCACTGACTGGATTACATTTCTTCACAAGGGGAAATTTAGACTTCAAACTTCTACCCAAGCCTAGTTACAGACTTTCCCCACATCAGCCCAGGTTCTGTGTAAGCATTGCAAACCTGATTAAACCTGTGCAGAATTTGGAGTTTCTAACTATTCCCTAAACAAAGTGAGTGTTGAATTTTTAAGGGTCTATTTCATGACTGTGCATATGTTGCATCCTGAGAGACAATGGAAAGGTAAATCTTTCCCACAACAATGAAGAATAAAACAGAGAAGAAAACAAAACCTTCATTAGGATCAACCTTCCAGGAAACCAAGATGATTTCCATCATTTTTATGACCTTTCCCTGAGGCAAAAGACATCTAATTAGCAAATCCTGCTACAAGTTTGATCAGATTTGACACAAAGTAAATGTGACAAGCAGAAAAATTAGAAGTCTCACATTTCCAGTTAGCAAGCTTGGGCTGCTAAGTCAAGTTCAAATGGTTTTTGGGGATCTTAAAGCTTGGGGAGTAAAAATCCAGAGGGTGAGCTGATTCCGCTAAAAATGTGAATGTATAGTGTTTGAGTCAGTGTTATCTGATGGCAATGTCACAGCAGCCCTTCATGAATGTGCACTCACATTTCCAGCTACAAAGCATTCCAGCCAGTATTGAGATGGTCCTTATAATCCACATTTATAATGATATGAGAAGGAGCTGAATGATACCAAGCAAAATTAAACCTTGACTCCTCATGAAGGAAAAAGGCATGAGTAAAATACATGTTAATAATGAATTTAGTAAGTAAATGCTGGAATTTAATCAGGTGTTACTTTTAATGATGTTTAAGAATCCTAGAGGCGGGAGATGATCCACCAGGAAAGAAGACTGTGAAACCTAAATAAAGTGATGTCCTCATTGTTATAACCAGAAGGGAAGTTGACCCACAAGGCTGCTTTGACCTTTGTTGTCTCTATTGGAAGGTGGTACTAGCAGTGTCTGCTCCCTCTCTGACTTAATATTCAGACTGGACCTAAGGGGCAAGCAGGCCTTGACCAAGGGCTTGGTGGGCTCTTGCAGCTGTGTAGGCAGGCGCTAAAGTTGTCCACAGAACTCATAAATACTGCCAGGTGAACAGTTATGTTAAAACCTTTCCAAAACTCTGCAATTATGGACCAGTTTTATTTGTAAGTATTGTTCCAGCAGCTATGGAGTATTCTACTGAGAGAGACCTACCTGATTTTCTGAACTTCAGCAGAACTTTGGAATAAGTGCTAAGGATCTCTAAAAAATTCTGGTTACGTCTCTAGAGCATAGAAACAACAGCATTCCCACTGCAAAACCCCTTTAATCTGTGTCTACAAAGCTTCTCAGCTGTACTGTGGGTCAGGTAGTTATGTCCTGCAGACAAAACTGTGGGAAAGCAGTCAAGTGACAAGACTTTTTTGAAAGGTACTTGTGGAAGTCTGTGATGATAGGCCAAATTCCTTCCTTGGATATCTGAATATCTGAAGTTTGGCACTCAGCAAAGTTAATTTAAGGAAAGTTTCCTAAGACAAAATGTCTTGTAGCTGCACAGGTGAGAAGTCCCACCACACTACTGATAAACCTTACAAGTACTAGTGTGACTATGTTACCAAGTACCATCTTGTTGGCTCCCAGAACAGCAGCCCAAAAGGACACAGAGCAAGGAGCTAACATTGCCTCAAGCAGAATTGCTCTCAGTGTTTTTTATTCCTTTCCAGAATGTGACCTTGCAGGATTTTTTTTCAGCAAAATAGTAGTGTTTGCAAAAGTCTTGCCTGTCTCCCCTGCGCTGACAGATTGCTGGAAGCTTCATCATGGCTGAATGAAAGAACTGTTAAAATTCAACTGCCTGCCAGTCTATTTAGAGAATGGGGAAATGAGCCTAAGAAGAGAAAACACAGTGGCCCAAGAAGGAAAGGAACAGCCAGAAGAGACCTCCTGTAAAGCAGCAAAGCTGGGCTTGCTTCCTGTCAATGCTCATTCTCTAGTGTCTCCAAACAAAGCAACATCTACCCACCCAAAGCTGCCCAAATGTTTCACCTGATACTTCTTGCTGAGGGATTCTCTGTTGAAGGAAGCAATGGTTGGTCAGTCAGGGAATTTCAAAGAGTTAAAAGGATAAAAGTGTCCATGCATACAACCATATTTACTTTACTCTTTTCTTAAAACATCAGAGTGTTCAGCCAAACAGTTTGGTGAAGAAACTCTCATTTTGAATGATTCATTCACAATGCTGCTTCTCTGGGACTGTATGGAAGAGTTAGGCTTTTACTTTTCAGTAGTTTCTTACAGCTGGTTTTCACATCCACAAATGATCTTCACACCTATATTTCCATCCCATACCTTCAAAAGTGTTGATCCCACATCCCATCAAATCTCCACAAAGTGATTTAAACCTCTCAAGGTCAGATACGTTTTATTTGTTTTACACATGGTTTCCATTTTCCAGGGTACAGTGAGGTTACATAGTCAAACCTTGATTGTCAGGTCTGAACCTTGGGATCCTGGTGCACAGTGACTTGACATAGCACAGTTGGACTATAGCAATCAATCGTGTCAGGACACTGTCTCATGATAACACCGTGGGAGCTGGCCATGTGGAATATAGTTGTAGCCGTATCTGTGGCAACCTTCACCTTCATATCTAAGCAAGTATTTTATCCACAGAATATTCCCAAAAGTGTTGCGGGTGTTTATAAAGCTCACAGATAAGTCTTAGTTTTCCTTTGCCAAACAGATAACAAATGTGCAAACAGTAATTTTTTCATGTCAGTCAAAAGATATCTAAGGCCAGAATTTCCTAACCCTGCCTCCCTGAGGAAAATGATGGCATAAAAAATAATGTTGTAAAATACATTATCTAAGATAGCACAGGAATTCATTAAAATTTGGCCATTCAAAACAGCTTAAATTTTAGTAAGATAGAAAACTTAGATACAGGTCCAAAATAAGCTTTCATCTGCTCTACCTTTCTGACAAGTATCTGCATAATATCTATCATTGACATATTCACTCCATTACATTAAGAAAATGTTATGAAGATGTATTTCTTGAAATTCCTATAAATGGGCATCCATTATATACCTGAATAGGTGCTAAACATGCCATCATCAGCTCTGCTAAAGTACGTGCTGAAATGGTCATTATCTGCCACCAGTACACATCTGGAGGAATGAGGCCAGGCTGGAAAAACCTTTTTACTACTCAGACCAGAATGATTCTGTAACAAATACAGAGGAACTTGCCTTACCTGTCTATGCTGCTGAGAGACTGGATACTGCAGACCTGAGATTTGCTGGCTTTGCTGCATTTTCTGAAGCATCATTTTTTGCTGCACTGCTAGGGGTACGTTAGGTGGCCTTTGAAGAGATTGGTTTGGGAGAGGCTGAGCAGGTTGTGGCTGGGGCTGTTGCGGCTGTTGCTGTGGTTGTTGCATGGGGGCTGAACCCTGTGCCTGCTGTGTGTAGTGCAGAAGGGCAGGCTTGTTTTGGGAACTCAAAACTGAAGGCATCTGCTGGTTTGTTTGCTCTGAGTTAAAGTGAAACAAAGGCTTTGTGTTGCCATGATGCTGCTCTAGTGGTGGCTGAGCACTGTTGATGAAGTTTCTGTTGAGATCCTGAGGCTTCTGTTGCATCATTATGTCCATGGGATTGCTCTGGGGAGTGGTTTGTTTATACACATAGTTGTTCATCCCTTTTGTCTGGTTTCCATTCACTGGTACCCCAAGGATTGCTGAGTTTTGTGGGCTGAACTGCTGCTGGCGAAAAGAAGGACTGGGGATTTTCTCTTGCACGAACGGTCCAGGGGAAGGTCCTGACGGAGACAAGGTGGACCAGTTGGCCGTCTGGTTCTGCTGCTGCTGAATCAAGGCGTGCTGCTGACGGTTGGCTGCGATCTGCTTGAGCTGCTGTGCATGAGACACCTCCTGCCAGTTAGGCAATGGCCGACTGGATGCAGAAGAAACCTGTGATACCTGCGTTTGACTCTGAGGCACTGAAGGGATGGGTGACGCGGTGGACATGGCAGAAGTGGCCATAGTGAAGGCTGGACCTGTAGAAGAAGGCCTCATCTGTGGGGAGCCCACAGGAGCCTGATTCATGCCTGGCGCATATTCACTCTTTATCACCATCTTATCCATCTGCAGAGATCTCACAGGGCCCCTCTGGTTCTGCTGCCCTAGGTCAATGTTGAATGGCTCATCTTGTTTTATCGTAGCATTTATCATATTCTCTAGCTCAAGATCACTCATTGGTGGCACTGATATGTTAGTCAGTTCATTAAACAGTTCCTGAAGCTCCAGATCCATCATTTGTTCCCATGAGTCTTCCCCATATCTGCTAGGGAACATGTTCTCATGGGATGTCTGGCCATCTAAGTGTTTGCTGCAGGACATTGTTTCTCCTGGCTCTTTCTTTACCTCTTTCAAAGTCATATTAAACATGCCATTCCCACTACCATGTGCATTGTTTGCTAGGTTACTGGCCTTTCTTTGTGATCCTTGCCCCACAGACATAGTTCCTGACATGGACGGGGTTTGGCAATTGTTAACATGTTGTCCACCTTGTCCCACTGAGATATTATCACCCACTCTTATCCTCTTGATGTCAAGGAAAGAACTCTCTGAAACACCATTTGGCCTCTTGTTATTGACAGGTGACAGATTTACCACCAGCTTTCTCTTCAACGAGCCTTGGAGCTGAAAGAAGCAGAGACAAAAACATACGTCATTAGATTACATTGAAGAAACAATCTGCAGCCTATTTAAGAGAATGATCTTCAAGTCAAAAGGCAAGTATGCATTGCTTAGTAGAGAAAGCTACTCTGGGCTTTCTCAATGAAGCTATGCAAAACTGTTGGAAAATGAGACATCTCCCTGCCACCACCACCCCTGTTCTTGTAGCCACCACCACGTTTCAAGCACTGCTGCCTCCTGTTGATCACATATCCCCATTTTCCTGGGGGTGTGGGTGGAGGGAGGTGGCCAGAGCTGTAGCTGGCAAAGCCTAGGGCATATCTGCCGCAGATTTACTCCCATTTAACTGTGCCAGACAGATCTAAATTATTTTCAGACAGCAGAGTCTAGTGCAGTCATGAAACCTGTCCTTGTTCCTATTCAGTGCTGCAGGATTTCATTCTCATGATTTTGGTATGTGATCCAAAAAAACATTTTTGACTGCTGTAGGTCAAAGGTCCTAAGAGACATTTTTATGGCACATACGAGTTTCAGGCATCCCAATCTCACATAGATTTATACTGGACAGAGATGTGTATGATTAAAGATTTTAGATGTTAACTTGTTCAAAACTGAAAATGAAGCCACTGGAGCCACATCAGGTTATGTCAGCCAAGGGTCTGGCCCATGAGGTATTGCTGGATTATTTTCCAGAGATGTATATTAATACATTAAGCCCTAATTGTTTATGTCCTGAAACATCTGCTATAAAACACAGTCCACGCAACACTGCTCTGAGAAGTGTAACTCCATTTCCTTTCCTTGAATATTTATGGCAATACTTTCATCTGCTCTGGGGGCCTGCTGAGGGAAAAGAGGTTGTCGCGATCCGCGACCTATTATATCTCCTTTTTGGAGTGTATTTAGCTTGTCAGGATCTGCTGAGAGGTCTGCATGTGGCACTCACCTCTCACAGAGGAGCAGTAAACTTCGGCACTGACTTTTTGGGTGAGAAACTTGCTCAGTACTCACTAGTGCTTCCAATTACAGCAGCCAATCCCCAATTAGAATTTACGAATACACGGTTTATTGTGGGGAAATACAAAACAATTTGGGGCAGGCGGTTCAAAAAAGGTAATTAAAACACATATGAGCTGTGTAATACCTTTTAAACACCAAATACCAAGCACTTATATATATCTTATTACTTATATATAGGCACACTTTATTTACACACCTTATTTAATTATCTATGAGGGAAGAAGGAGGGATATGCCTGATGCTTGTCCCTTATAGGGTCGCAGTTTGTGTGCAGGTAAGACAGGAATACCTTAGGGAGAGAGTTATGCTTCCCCTGCAACCCGGTTTTAGAACCACGGGTGGCATGAATTAGTCTCAGCACACGTGCTCAGCAGCAGACGGGTTCCTGAGGTGGGTAGCTGCAGGCAATGCAGGCAAGCTGGCAGGAAAAAGCTGTGGCAGCGAGCAGGGTCCAGCAGAAGTGAGCTGGGACTAGGTGAGCTGGGACTGCAAGAGCTGGGAGTTGGGCTGCAGCGATGAGCTGGGGACCTCAGGCTGGCAGGCACTCCAAGGCGCAGGTCACCCCCCAAAAGCAAGCGGCAACAGCGGCGGCGGCGGGAGCAGGGGGTTTTCCGGTTTTTGGGAAACACGGTAGCAGCGGCTTCCGTGTCTCTGGAAAACCGCGCCGAGAAGCAAGCGACAAAAGCTTCACTGCCTCCAGAAAAACCGCGCCGAAAAGCAGCGCGCACGCTGTCTCTTCATAGGTCTCCTTTGCTCCCAATTGGCCGGTTTCATATTTCTAGGCTTCTCAGCCAATCAGACAGGAACTTTGTCCCACCCTTGCAGCTGTTTTTCCCGCCACGGCTCCTCTCCAGCAGCAGCTACCCCCTCAGGGCATCCGAGTTGTTGTTCTCTGGCAGAGAAGGCAGCCAGGAGAGGGTTCAGAGTGCCACGTGGAGCAGTCATCTTTAAGTCAGTTATGACTGCTGACCTAAAGGGCATTTTATGTTCGTGTGAGGAAATACCTGGCCCTTCACAGAGGTTCACAGCCTTGTCCCCCAGTCTACACTCATCCGCCATGGTTGTACACACCAATTCCTACCCTATGCACACAAAACAAAGATGTAGTCCCACAAACTGAAAAGCTGGGACTCAGCACAGATACCCTCAAGTAGAGTTGCTTTCCTTGCATTTCAGAAACACGGTTCCTCAAAGAATAGATCACTCTTAAACAAGCACAGCTGTCAGATCCCCAGCTCTGTACGTGAAAGTCACATACCAAGAGTGAACACACTGGCTCTCATGCAGACCTAGAGCAGTGGGCACACAGCCTGTCACTGCTGCAGCTGTGACCAATATCAGGAAACTCTGCAGAGAAACTTGGCTCATCTTCTGCTTTTCTGCTCCTGGGCAGAAGTGTACCATCCTCGGAGGCAAAAAGACAATGTCAGGTGACAAATACCACTACCAGTGAGAAAATGGCACTCATACAAACTTTGATACCTTGGGAATCTGTGATGGGCATCAGAAATGCTGGGAATTTCAGTTCTGCAGCTAAGTGAGGAAGGATGAGATGACATCTCCCAGCCACATTATTTGTATCAGGTCAGTTTAGAAGTCCATGGGCACACAATACTTTGTTGTGGCCACCGTTCCCCTCGACTTCAGGCTTCTTTGTAGGTAAGAGCTCTTCCCAGGTAATTCCAGGTGCAAATACTTTAATTCTGGTGTGAATACCACTGAGTTGCTTGGGAAAAACTCAACTGACAAATACGTATTTCCTCCATACCCACCTATCCTTGCACTGTATCAGCAGGTCACTGAGTTTACCCCTTAAAAATAAAACTTGTAATTTCTCTCTTTGACACTGAAACTCTAATGTTGTATCTCTAGTTAAGTTTCCAGCACAGCTTTTGAATCACAGATTCCTTTTTTATTTTCATAAGGACAGAGATGCTGGTGCCTAGTTGCATGAGTCTGCAGATCTTGTGCCTTCAAGACTAACTAATTGTCATCAGGTGTCCCCCAGGACGTGGGACTTCTGAGTTGTCACTGGCAAAGAGCACGGACTGTCTTTGGTTAGTGTTCCGGCTGACACATGAGTCACTGTACTTTCCTTTGCAAAAAAACCAACAAAAAAAACACCCAGTAAGCTGCACTTCCTTTTACCATCATCTTTGCTGTGAGTGTGTTTATTAGAAATCATGCTCATGCCCCCAAAATCATCTTCCTGGGAAATGGGGAAGTTCCCAGTTCATCAGAATATGACTTAGCAGCACGTTTTGCTTTCAGATGTGCTGCTGATAAAAAGGCTGAAGAGATAATGGACAATATATCCTCTGCACAGACACAAGCTTTATGTGGTTAATATGCCTTTCTGAGTTTATTTTGCTTTTGCTTGACATTTTGAAGCAGAGGGAACTGTTTAAAATGTCTTCACATTTCCAGAGCACCTGCACCAGGCTTTCTGATACCATTAAAAATGCAGGTGTTACACTGCATTCTGCATAGCAGCTGCTTCTCTCCTGCATGTGAGCTGACACGGGAGCTGTCTGCCTGGTGACACACACAAGTCGGCAGCAGAGCCAGGGAGAGGACCACGATCTCCAGACATATCCCTTAACCAAGCACTTCCTCCCTCGACACGGGTTGGAGGACTCCTGGGTTTACTGACATTTGCTCTGTTAAAGTGCCCACCAAAAAGGGCACTGTGCATTTCTAAAGAAGTAACCAGTACCGGCTTATCAGATCTCCCGAAAACCTTGCAAATGCTGCCCTCCAAATGCTGACAACACCTTGGTCAAGAGATGTCCTCACCTCAAAGCAGAAACGAGAGTGAGGGAGGCTGCAAAGGTGCAGGGTACTCTCAGGGGACTTCACTGAGGCTGTTAGAAAGGTCCTGATTTCACATCCCCTGAGTTTGGGATGTGGAGGGCAAGGGCTTGGGAAGGATGGGAGCAGCCCACAGGGGTGAAGCTCCCTTACTCTGCTTGCATGGTGCTATTACTAATTAATTATGTGTCAGGGCAGTTCACAGGGGACAGGTCTGTGTTCAGTGAGATGAGCAGTGCCCATCACAAGCCTGTCTTACTATTTCATCCAAATGTGGCCTTCTACTGGGCACTGATACCACAGAGTTATTCCTGCTTTTTTTCAGAGAGGAGGAACCAAGGTTCCATCCCCTTTACCATATTCTAGCCATCATGTTTTTCAACTACTGATCCAAAGTCAGTACTCCAGCCCTTTCCCCCAAGCAAAGCACAGACTCTTCAAAGAGTAAAAAAGAGTGTGCCAGGTTGCAAGCTCCATCTCTTCCAGTTTGCAAGTAGGACTGATTTGGGTCAGTAAATGTTAAGCAGAAGTTCCTACAACACACGAGCACCTTCCTCAGATCAAAAGGGCTCATGATTACACATCCCTAACTGCTTGAACTGTGTAATACTGAAAAGGTCTGTGATGGGAAATGAGTGACATGCCAGTAAGGGGGAGAGGAGGAAGCCCTCCATGCTCAGCTCCATCCCACAGACAGGTGGGGAGCACAGTATGAGCCATCGAAGAGTAGATGTATTTCCTGGCAGCCTGTGTTCTTGTAGACCTTTCTCACCAGGCTCTGGTGAGTCAGCAGGCGTTCACACACTTACAGAGAGGGCATGATGGATGCATTGATTTTCTGGAGTTAAAACTGCATGGGCTAAGCCTCTACAGATCACGTTTGCAAGACAGCACAGTGCTGCTCCTGGACCAGCTGCCCAGGGATATTAACAGCAGAGAACAAACTCTAGAGATGGCTTGGACTAAATGACCCTGTGTGACACCATGTCCTGTACAGAGGGACAATTAACTTCTAGTAAAAACTTATTCTGAGTCTTAAAAGGGATTTATGAGAAGCAGCCGTTTCTCTAATGCTCCATGACATCAGGCCAAATCACAAGAAGTTCCACCAACCTAATAATTAAGACTCATCAAAATCTGGTATCAAACAATTTCTCTTTTGAAAAAAAAAAAAAAAAAAAAAAAAAGATAAGGCTTTTGCTTCACCTTTCTTTTGTTAGATTTTTTTTTACTGAATGTAAAACTAGGGAATTTTGCTGAAAATTGATTATTTTTTTTTTTTCCAGTTCAAAAGCTTTTCCAGAAGCTGGAAGAAAAAACTTCTTTGATGCAAAAGCATAATTTGTCAATGAAAAAATTTAGAGATTCTTGTCTCAAAAATATCCATATTTAACAATATTTTAATCACATTTCTAGAAATTTCTGACATTACCCATGTGCTTTCACCTTGAATTCCTTTCCAAAGGGACTGTCCATTATGTTCAAGAAAATAATTTCTCTGTGGCAGCAGGAAATGCTAAGGACTATCTTGTTCCACTTTCACTGAAATTCTTATTTTTTATGCTCTTCATGTAGCTTCTTCAGCTGGACTTCCTTTAGAATTTGCTTTTGACTTCTTTTAACAATGTGTAGGAACACAGTGCTGGAGAGAATCCTAGGTTAACCATGCAGCAGCTCTGAGTTTCACAGCTCTCAGGACAAGTAAAACACAGCCTGTCCCTCTGACTTGCCCATGAACCTCCACAGTGCCCACAGAACTCCAAAAAAATTAATTTCCCAGTGCAACCCATCCTTGGCCTTGTACAGAGACATTAGTAACACATCTGTCTGTCATCTCAAAATGTTCATAGCTAGACACTTGAGGCTGGACCCAAACACCAAAATGCTCCAAGCAAGCTACATACAAAACAACTGACACAGTTTTAAATCTCCACTAATCTTCGTTAGCCAAAGATGTAAAAGGAAGGTCTCCTACTATCTTAGTTCCCCCATCTCTCATATCTTCCTAAGGTTTGCAGCTTTCCTAGCTTGTGTGGTGGAACAATGAGGATGAAACTTGTTATGTGTTGCTGAGTTAAACCCTGAGTGATGATCACCCTTTGTGAAGCAGGCAGTGCAGCAGCCTTAGCTATTCACATGGAGTAAAACTTCTGATGTTAAAAAAGCAGCTTTGGATTTTATGCTTTTAATATCACAGCAGCAGACAAATCCACGTAAAAGAGTCCCTTTTGGACTTCCTAGACACTCTCACAATATGTGCTGACTGTATCTATGGCTGCACTGTAAACAAAATCCTTCATGTATCTGGGGAGGGGAAGGGGTAAAGGAATGACATGAAAAATACAGAAAACATTCAAACAATGCAAGTGGCCAAAAAAACCCAAACAAAACCAAAACAGGAATTCATTCCAAAGGAGGAAAACATGCTGAATGCTAGTTCTTATTTATGCTGTGAAAGCACCTTGACATCTCAGGGCTGGATCCAGTGAGCTGGGATTTTGGGCCTGATCCTGAATGACAGCAGCTCTCCTTTTCAAAACAGTGGTTTGCAGTGTCTGCTGGCAGCTGTCTGCAGTGCCACATCCTGCACCGGCTGGAGGTGAGCTGAGTCAGGGAGCATCCTCCAAGGCAGAGACTGCGGTTCACCAGAGCAGAGCCTCCTTGCTGTGGGCATCTCCCTGGCTTGCAGAGAACCAGGCACCCTTCTCCTTGCTTTCTTACCCCTTCAAGCATGCACACTGGTTGTGGTGACTCCTGCTGTGGCCAGCCACCAAGGTGAGGCTGGCACAAGGATGAGACAAGGCCATTGTCCCAAGCTGCCACCTCCCAGGTGCCATGATCACACACACACCCTCACAGCCTGTTTCTGACTACAGATGCACTCTATAGGAACAGGTAAAAGGGTTCCCACACTGCTCTTTCTACACATCTGCTGAAATCTGGCAGCTTTGGCTCTTTCCACTCTTCCCCCACCCAGGACAGCAGGTTCACCCTGATGTCTCTCCTCAAAGTCTCCATAACATGGACTTCTGAGCACCTCTCCCCAGCTGCTCTGCTCTTCACTTTCTCTGCACAGCAAGAGGGTATTTATTTTCAATCTTTTGTTTTCATTTGCAACTTCTACCTGACATGGCTGATAATGCAAGTGTGACAGTTGTCTTGAGAGAGATTTTAGAACTCCAGGTCAGAAGTCCAATCTGCTGGATGATGCTGATCTGGGAAACGTTAATTTTCATGCAAGACTGAGT